GAGAGAGAGAGAGAGAGAGAGATTATTACCATCAGCAAGGCATTGAGCTCCCTTCTGGTAAAGGGTTCCGAATTATCTTTGTTGACATTCTGCTCCAGCTCCTCGATCGTAGTCTCATCCAGACGATTGCTGATGAACATTCTCGCAAGTAAATTATTGAATTTCTCCTCCCTGTTGCATTCCACATTACGAATGCATTGTCGTCAGACAGCCTTCACAATGAAATAGACGGTGACTGTACCAGGCCATTCTAGAAATTGCGATAGCATATTTAATTAATTTTAATATTTATTATTTCCACAGCTCACCTGCCATGAACATGGAGTTAGCACGCACTGTCCACATGTTGCGGCAACAACGCTTGCTGCAAAGTTTTTCTGAATGACCAGTCTGCAGATTTGCTTGCCCGATTTGTCTAATGAATGCAAAATTTGACGGTTTTTTATTTAAAAAAAAAAAAAAAAAAAAAAAAAAATTGACGGTTTTCGTAAACGTGTGACACACTGTTGTACAAAAGGACAATATTTGTAAATCCTAAAACCATGGTGCTTTCTCTCCGATTGCCTACCGTCTTCGCGCAAACACAATGCCCGCCGCATTGCCAAGTCATTATAGCTGTTTTGGGGTCAACATCCAGTCCAGAAACTGCAATTATTGACCTCACGTTCTATTCGGCTATTCGGATAAATACCAAGGGGGCTACAGGCCTGCCCGACGGCTATCATAGGCAGGACGACATTATTTGGCGACGTGGAAGCTGCTAGGAGCATAGCACACGTCCGACATCCTGCGGCTCGATGGCGTCACACCTGTGATTTGTTGATCTTGGAGACCCCCTTTCAGAAAGAAAGGGGGTTCAAACTTCACATTCCGACAGGTACAATAATATTACGGGGCTAACCCCCTTTCAGAAAGAAAAGGGACAGGAATCGGGTTCATTGGCGGGTTTGAGTCTCTACTAGACTCCGCTAGTCTACGGAGCAGCATGGCTGAAAACTACATGACTTTTTTTTTTTTTTTTTTGGGGGGAGGGGACCATTTCTCGATTTATGTGTGTCATCCTTGCACAGGGCCATGCTAATCTTCCCCTTCTCTGTCTCGTTCCAGTTTTAACTTTTAACGGATGTCCCAAAGGACACGCATGACATCAAAATGATCAAATTGACCAGCACCCAAATGATAATTATTAACTATTAATTAACTATATGAATTTATATCCAAAATTTCAATTTCTTTTTTACAGCGAAGTTGAGCAAACTAAGCGTAGCCATCTGTAATGATTCTGTATCTTTTTCTATTCCACAACTTGCTTCCCGGTCGAACCTTTGGGACGGTCACAAACTGTATAGTTGACTTTCTGACAGCTGACGCCATGACACCACATTTTCAGATTGACACCACATTTTCAAATTCAGGACCTCACATCATAAAAAGGTTTGAGGTTCGACGTTTAGACTCAGGACGGCGGCCAGTGTTGTAGTCTTGTAGACAATTCATCCTCTCTTTTTTTTTCCTTCTTTTTTTTTTTCGCAAGCCCTGTCGAGCTGCTCCATCTATTGGTGGGGAGCGTCACCTGCTGGAAACCGGGTCCACCGTCCCTTAGATACATCATCTCTTTTTCAGGAGAAAAAAAAAAACAAGAAAGCCCGCCAGCATAGATTGATTACTCTGGGATCATCTTTTTTTTTTTTTTAGATTGATGACTCTGGGATCATCCTAACACCAAGCCACGGAAAAAAAAGTTGGCAGAAACACCGATCGGTGTAACTGTTTTCACATTCGGAAAATAAAAATAAAAAGAAAGGATATGAGGGCAGCGACTCAGCGAGGCATCATTGAGAACACCTTTCATCCAGCGGCCTAGCTCAGTTGGCAAGGCACGCAAGTGGCAATCAGGAGGTCTTGGGTTCAATCCCCATTGGCCTTCATGTACCTTCCCGGGCATGCTTGGCGCCCACCACCTAGAGAGAGCCCGTTGGTCTCCCCAATTGGCATTATAAAGCAGTCTCTGCTGATGCTCATAGGGGGAGGTGTAATCGCGGAGGCACAGCGACTGGCCACTCATATGATGCTCGGTCCGCCCCCCCCATTGGGGATTCCCTGAAGGCAATAAGGCCACCCTGGGTACCAGCTGACCCCTCGCCGGTGTCACCCACTGGGGGTTCCCTGAAGGCAATAAGGTCAGCCTGGGCTGAAAAGGCCACCCGGTGTCAGATTAGACACAAGATTGAATTTACCTAGTCCGTTGATAATACCTCAAGGCCATCGCCGTTAAAAAAAAAGAAAAACAAAAACAAAGAAAAGCGACACTTATCCAGGTTCCCTTTGTGCCTTTCCGTTCTGTCAATTGCACACTCGATCATCACCGGTTTCGCCGCAAATTTTACTTGGAACCGCCAGAACATCGCCCAGCCAAACTTGAGAATCAACGTAAACTTCGGAGGCTTGGGGCTTCCAGACCAAAATGGTGAGAAATTGCTACGCTGGCACTTCGGCAAAGCCTGGCGGTTTAAGCCTACCTCGATGGAATGGGAAGGGAGAAAAAAGAAAGGAAAAGAAAAAAAAGGCATATTCATATTATTCAATAAAAAAGGATGGCGATTTGCGTGTGCGCTGGATCCGAGTCGCCCTGACAATTCCACTGATAGGATTTACTGGACGGTTGCAAGGCATTTTTTTTTCTTCCCTTTATCAAGTCAACTGAGCTAACCTCTGAAGCAGCTGACCCAGTTTTGTAGCACGAGCTGACGGCTGGAAAAATATGTCGTCTCAATGTAAAATCGGACTGGCAGTCGGGCAGCTCGGTTGGACTCTCATACTTGCCGTTGATAAGCAACTGGACTGTAGCCCCCCAGAATACACGGGGCTTTTGTCTTTGGGGGAAAAAAAAGAAAAAAATGAGGACTGACGGCTCGTCTTTCCTTCTTTCTTATAAGAAAATAAAGATAGCCATCATAACCTTTCCTTTTCGTTTTCCAAAACAAGGGGGACGGGCTTGAGATATCATCATCAAACTGACGGCCCCAACGTAATTCAGGAATTGTTTTCCTTATCAGATTGCATCAGCATTCGATCTCAGGTCTGTTCCCCGATAATCGATGGGCTGGGTGAGGCAATCTGTCTTTTTTTTTATTATTATCGTTTATTATTTTTTATTGTTACCAGTTGTCTGATGGCAGGACGTCCTGGCCGGACAGTCAGGGGGGGTCCCGGACGTCCGGGCCCCGACAACTCCATTTTTATTAGCAAAGCACGAAAAAAAAATTTAAAAAAATTGGGGGTGTCTTTAATTTTATTTTTATTTTAAATTTGACAACGAATTTCGATGTCATCCCAAGGCAATAATTGTTCAGTTTATTTTTCTGCATAACATAATTTTAAATTTTGTTTCGGAATTTTTTTAGTTGTTCTTTTTTTTTTTTCCGTTTGGGTTCGAACAGACTGCCTGCGGAGGATGTCCGACAGGTTGTCCGACCGGACAACCCCGGACGGTCAGGGGGGTCCCCGACATCCAATCAGGTAACCTAGCTTTTATTATATACAACGGGTCTGGTGCCCCAAGTAAAACAACAAATAGTTCGCAGCAAGGGCATCCGGCCTCAACGGTCAACCCTCGGTTTGAGCCACACCCCAGTAGAAAACAAGACGACACCAAGCTAAGAGGCGGACTGTCTTTTACTTAAGCCACTAGTACCTTTGCCATCCAGTTTCGACAAGTTTTAGCCTAGTCCCGAACTTTTAGGAGGCCGGGCCCGACAACGGCTGCCGTTGATAAATCTGACTGGCGGCTGTCGTTTCGTTTCGGCCTCCTGAAAGGTCGGAGGCCCACTATTTTTCCAAACCGACAAAGGTACTAGTGGTTCAAGGGAGGAGAGGAAAAAGTTCCGAAAAACTACATCTGTATTTTACTGAAGTTGATATCTGATTCCCAACAGATCCATCCATCACACAGTTGATTTGCTGCTGTCCATAGACTCCATACCCCATTCCGGACCTCACTCACCTTCTGGGATCGACCAATCTCCTGTCTCTTATACACATCTAGATGTGTATAAGAGACAGGGGGGAGGGAGACTATGGAGGAGGAGAAAGGGGGGAGACTGATAAGGAGGAGGAGAGGGGAGGGAGGCTATGGCAGAGGAAGGGAGATTGATGTAGGGGGTGGGGGGTAGGGGGAGGAGGTGCAGGAGCGGGGTAGATTAGGGGTTGTCCATTTCGCAGGAGGGGGGAGGGAGACTATGGAGGAGGAGGAAGGGGGGAGACTGATAAGGAGGAGGAGGGGGAAGGGAGACTATGGCAGAGGCAGGGAGATTGATGTAGAGGAACAGAGAGGGAGCTATGGCGGAGGTAGAGTACGTGGAGGGAGGTTTAGTGATGGAGGATGGAGGCGAGAGGGAGACTGTGAATGGAGGGTGACTGATGTGGAGGGAGGAGATGGCGGAGGAAGGAGAAAGGGAGACTATGTGGAGGGAGGGAGACTGACGGAGGAAGCGGGAGGAGAGAGGGAGGAGAGAGGGAACTGCTATGGCGGAGCAAGGAGGTGAAAGAAGAAGCACTATAGCAGAGCACGGCGACGACGACGACGACGACGACGACGACGAAGAAGAAGAAGAAGAAGAAGAAGAAGAAGAAGAAGAAGAAGAAGAAGAAGAAGAAGAAGAAGAAGAACAAGAAGAAGAACAAGAAGAAGAACANAATCTGGCCGCAGGCCTTGATGAAGGAGGCGCAACTGCCTTACCCCGGGGCCCAACTGTATCGAGTTGGCTTCAGCCTCTGGGCCCCGGTCACAGGCTGAAGGGAGGCCGCCCACACACTGCACTGGCATATAGGCAAGCAGGGCGAGGCAGCGGGGAKCTTGGCCAATGCTGGCATATGCGGGCACGCTGCGCAGATGCAAGTGTGCTGCGCTAATGCAGAGCAGCGCTGCGCKAAGAAGAAGCAGGGCAGCGCTAGGCGGTAGGGCGCTGCCTGCTTACAGAGCACTGGCGGCCATAGCCGGGCCGCATGAGGGTGCAGGGGAGGTGAGGGCGAAGGTGGTACTTCGGAGGTGAAGGGCGCTGTGTGGGTAACAAGGGAGAGTGTGGGGAAGAGGACACGTACCTGGTGATGGTGGTCTGCATTGGTGTTGACATCATCACTCGCTGGTAGTCAAGTTGTCTGGTTGCTGTTCATTGCTGTGGTTGTAGGATAGGCTGTAGAGTAGATAGGGCGCCTGGCGCCATTCACAAGAGAGAGCTACATTTGGGTTATGCTGTTGGTGTTGCCCTGGTGGGCATGGACATTGACTCACGATTCTTCTGTATCATTCTCAATGGGATGGTTACTCGGTTCCATGTGCTATCTGCTTTGGCTTTGAATACTTGGACTTCAGTGTGATTTTGCATTCTGGATTTCTGTGCTTCGTCCATACTCATGTTCCTTGCAATTTGGTATCAGAGCTGGTTTGATCGCCACTTACCTTTGGCACGCTGGCGTTATACAGACTTGGTGCGTTGATGATGCTTCTTCGCAGTGGGTACTTGTGACGTCAGGCCACTATTGGTGCACGCCCTGGGTAGAGAGGGGTGCACCGGAAGGCTACAGACGGCATATTAGCCGTGGTGACAGGAGGAATGTTTGATTGGTGATGAGAGCATGCTGATGTGGCATTGGACTAAGCTTTTTTTTTTTTTTTTGTGCAGGGACCTTCCTTGGCCCTTGCCTGACCAGGGCCCCTGGGGAACCAGGGCGTCCGGTCGGCCCGGTTGGTAAACACAAGTCAACACTCCATAAGTCGATTTGCTGCCGTGTTTAGTCCATTTGCAACCTCACTCACCTTTTGGGATCGATATCCCTGTCCACTTCCATGGGTTGGTCCCCTTCAGCTCCGGCACTGTCCCTTGCTGATGATGGGCCTGCAGAAGCGCCCTCTCCGGCGGTCGACTGTCGCCGTCTGCAAAGTGCAAAGAAAGGAAGAAGACGTACATGAGACCAGAAATTTGTGAGAATAATGTAATGTAAATGGTTTCTGTCACTTTCTGATGATTAGCCAAGGGCCGCTGCCAGACACATTGGGCTGCTGCATATAAAGTCCCTTCCCTGCGAACTACAGGAAGGAAAGGAAGAACACTAATTAATTAATTAATAATTAGGGCAGAAGGTCGTCCTGAGATTTATCAGGATGGCTTCCAATGAACAGTCGTCAAGGGCCTGCGAAACGGATGAGAACTACTAGTAGGTTCAGAAAAACTGAATCTGGATCAGGATTGCTGGTAGGTTCAGAAAAACTGAATCTGGATCTTATTTCTGTCGGACACGTTCTGCATAATCCCACGATCTTAGCTTGCCCCAAGTTCCTAAAGCCCAGGGCAAACTGCTCCCCGGTCTTGAGCTCATCGAAAGTACTCTTCGCCCAGGTGTGCATCTCGTTTACCCGGAACTCGGAAATGTTAGCAGATCATTCAACGGTGAGCAGTTTGGTCCTGCGGACTCTACTGGGGATTAGGAGGGACAGCGGAGTGACACCTGGAGAGAAGGCTGAAAGCTGATATCATATAGCAGAAACGAGCTTCAGAAAACAACCATCAGATTTTAGAGCAAACAAATCCATATGCGTGATGTCGCCTGGCTTTTAAGGTGCCCACAGGCTAGGAGCCAAGCTTATTAGCTGAATCAGATACATGTTGGATTTTTCCATCGTGACCATGTGGCCACTATGCGCCCTCAGGTGCTGAAAGCCCACCCAATCTTTACGCACACCGTCCTCCACCTTCGAACACACTGTCCTCTACCTTTGAAAACACCGTCAGAGAAAATCCATATGCATGACATCGCCTGGCTTTTAAGGTGTCCACAGGCTACCGTCTTCACCCGAATAGAACGCCCAGGCATTATTGCTGCATCTGGACTGAAAGTTGGGCCAAATGCAGCTATAATGACCGGGCGTTCTATTCGGGTGTCCACAGGCTAGGAGCCAACCTTAACTGGATCAGATACATGCTGTACTTTTCCATTGTTGTAAGTATGCGCCTTCAGGTGCTGTGAAACCCCATCTTTACACGCACCGTCCTCCACCTTCGAAGTTCGAACACATTGTCCCCTACCTTCGGAAACACCGTCCTCCTCCTCCTCCTCGTTGAATCTGAAAAGACTCAGAGACACCGCCATTCGACAGTGCATCATCACTGCCATTGCTGTGATCCAGTTAGTCGGAGCACGAGCCTGTTTACTTTACCATAAACAGATGATCTCCAATCAAGAACATCGGACTCCACAGTGAGCTGCTTGTACGCTGCAGGTAAGAACAACCAGGTGAGCATTTGGAAAACCATCCACTCCTGTTTCCAAAGCAGACACTCAGATGAAATATGGGACAGTGGAGCCACTGTCATATTCAGGTTTGAACACCTGTTAGGTATAAAGGGGCATTGACCAAATAAGATGGCATCCTCCTGCTTTATCAGGTAAAAAATAGTCAAGCGCCGACCACTTCCCGTTTCTTGAAAAGGACGTAGCCCCTAGCATTTACTGTATTGATCTGATTCAGTCAGGATTCGAACTCATGATGCGTTTATTGACGGTTACATGTGTGCACCAACCATTCAGCCACATGGGCTGGGCAGATGTTAAGCCACCACTAACTGGGATAGACCCGACATGGTCCTCCTTTCTTTCCAAGCGGTAACAAGGATGGGGTATATAGCACATTGACTGGTCTATGGGCGGAATAGACCCGACATAGGTGCAGTGGGAGGCAAGGATGGGGTATATACTATATGGTATATACACACTGTGCCAACCGGCAGCGACGCACAGCGTTTATATACCCCACAAAATGACAAAGAGAAGGCCACCAATTAATCCTAACTTTCCCACATGGAATGCCGGGTTCACTGCCTGGCCTCGCCGAAATCTTTCGGGGTGGGCCGTCAGGTCTGGAAGTTGGGGCGATTTAATAGAAAAATGCATTTCCTAACATTTTCAGGTTCTTCGTCCCTCAACGTCAGTGCAGAGGATGAATGTACGTCGTCAGAGGTTATCCGTAGACTAAACAGTGACAAGATTCAGTGTTGAACGAAAAAAATCCAGTTCTTTGTCCATAGCTTGATTCCCTAATCCTTCCATTAAGGAAGTAAGTAATGCCGCAGAGATGTGTTCAGTGTGTACCTCTGATGTAAGGGACACTCGATCCTATTTCCAGGATTATAACTATAAGAGCCCGAAAAAAAAAACAAAAAAAAAAACAAAAAAAAAAACAAAAAAAAACGATTGCAGTCACTTGAGTAATAGCGGGTGAAGTACTGCTATAGCCAAAGGGAATAAAATAAATAAATAAAAATTCACCATTGCCTGTTCTATGGGAATGGCTTCCCCTTAACACGGCTTGGCTGAGCATTTCTCACCTTCTGATCAGACCTGGCTCATTTTCTTCTGCGGCATCTTCATCCACGTCCATAGGCATTTCCTGTGTAGCATCTCGAACTCCTGCAGACTGTGATCCGGGTTGCTTCTCCCCTTGTGCATCCGCAGACTCCTCGGCTGCCTTTGTGGACCGCGTAGTTCGTGTTGTACCTCCTTGCCTGGGGGTGGACATATCACCACGCCTACGCTGTTTCGGTGCTGGTGCCCCCCTGCAATTACCAGTAAGAATACGGAGGGAAACATGGATACAGGCATATTAGGAGATGCTATAAATAGTATGAACTGTGAAAAGCTGGGACAAATGCCTCCACGAGCAGCGAGATAAGGATCAGACTCACGCATCTATAGCCTTGACAATGCTGTCTTACTGCTCATTTTGCATGACATGGGCTCGACTGTGAGCAAAGAAAGAAGAAAGGCTGAAGCCCGACATGGTTCTCTTTCAGCGGATCTTCCTGGCAGTCGTCCGCAACCGGCGCTTGTCAGTTGTCGATGACTGCCCCTAGGTTTTGTCCGAATGCTTGGTGGTTCATAGGGTGTGACGGATGGCGGCGGGTGACGGTGGACTGTGATGCTAATGCTTTCAATTTTGAATCCCGTCTATTTTGACTACGTGTCTCCACATGTGTTTCTCACCTGTGTGAGTCTGTTGGTACATGTGATTTTCCCATTGCCCACTGCCCATTGAAACCGCTGAACCAAATTCCTATGTCTGGTTCAAAAATGAGGAAAAAAAAAAGCGACGAAGAAAATTGAATGCCTAAAGACTAGTGATGCAGGCGCACTGGGAAGCTCTTTCTGTTTCTTTTTGTGCGGGGAGACCTCGAACTGAATCCCGTACTCTGAGAGTTTTCTGCTTCTCCAAAATGCAATGCGAGAGTCTGGTCACTGTTCATCAGTAGGGCTGTTTTGCTCCTTCTTATTCCTTTGTTGTGCAAACAGTCCTGAAGTGACACAGCACAGGAAAGCACTGCAGCATCAATGTAATGCTGCCAGCAGGTGACAACTTGACACCACCACCATCTCTCTCTCTCTCTCTCTCTCTCTCTCTCTCTCTCTTCCCCCTGCGCTTGGCTGCGGGCCAAGCCATGGCAGGCAGTTACTTGTTACATTCGAAGGGAGATAGCCCCCTGACCGCGCTTGTATGCATCAGGACTCAACGGGGCAAAGAATCAACAAAAGAAAACAGTTTGAAACAGCCTGACCTTACAATCTTCTATCGACGTATACGGCATTTTATATGATTGTAATGTTTCGAATGTCGTACTGTTTTGATAAAACAGCCGTTTCATTGTTTCTGTTCTGAGAGGTGCAAGGTCGACCATGTCTGTGTAATTTAGCGTGGAATGCGTACACACCCGTTTGCTTTTCGGCACACCTGCACCTTATCTTTTGTCTGTTCTCTGAATGACCCTCGTACGTATGTGTTTAGCCCTTTCGCACGTTCAAGAACCATATGTGGCAGCCAAATACCATCCGGGCTATGACCATTGAAAGCTCCCTAACAAAAAAAAAAACACGGTTGACAAGAGCAACATCAAGCAGCGATCAAGCAAAGGGAGGAAGAAAATGAGGGTGCAGTGTGCACGCCGTGCACTGAGGAGGACGCGGCTGACCAGCTATAGAATGGTGGGTTGGTATGTTAGAAGCCCTTTCGAGTACATATGAAACAGACATCTGAACAACTTTCATGTGAGACAGAGCTTCTGTCCCGCACTTCCGAGTGTTTGGATCCAAAGTTCACTCAAAAGAGTAGAGATTGCTCACCGCCCAGTTCTCCTCCATTCTCCTCCATCATCGTCATCAGAGCTATCACCGTCGTCATCACCATCATGATCATCAGGTCTGTCCGCAGCTGGGCGCTTCTTGCCTCTACCATTCTCCTTTTTATCTTTCTCATCCATATCTGTCAGCTCTGTGTGATAGAGAGCGAATCGCATTACTGCCAGTGCCGACTTTGCATCTCCAGCTGTCACCGTATTTGATAGGCGCATCTTGGCATGTGCTGTCGACAGCCTGATTATCGTCTCCAGTGTCCGGGCAGTAATGGGAAGAGCACCCCCTCCTTGCCTCTGCATCAGAAGGTAAAACACATGTGAGAGCTTGTCGGCTCATAGACGGCAAGGGAATAGAAGACTAAAGAGGCATGCAAAGGAGGCAGCGGACGTTCCTAGATGGGTCACGGAGGAGGTCTGCGAGGGCACGACATCTGGAGACGGTGAGGAGCGAGGTTTAGACAAGGGAAGAAAGGCGGTCAACAAATAACAAGGGAGTAATTTAAGAGCTTCTGCCAATGCAGGTGTAAAAATGGTGATGGAGGGAGTCGAGTCGATAACGAGGGAGGATCTTTGGACAAGTCAAGACACAGAGAGAACAGGGTAACGAGGTTTGGAAATGCCAGCAAGGCAGAAGGTTCAGACAAGGGCAGAAAACAGGTCTGGAATCAGAGGGAGGAGTTCTAAGATGGTGAGGAAGGAAATCCAGAGAGAGCGAGGGCGGGAGGAGGAGGAGAGAAATTAGGAGAGGAGGTTCGGAAACGGGAAGACAGGTGGTCCAGAGGTGGCGGCGAGAAAGACGGCTTGGAGATGAAGAAAGACAGGATGTTTCAAAGAGGAAAGGAGGAGGTCTAGAGCAGGGGGGACAAGAGGTTCAGCAAAGGCAAGGGAAAACTTTTGGATATAAGGAGGGAGGACTCAAGCAAGGGAAGGGAGTGCATCTGGAGGAGGAGAGTGGAGATGAGAGAAGGTTAACGGAGACCCTAATTTTCAGACCACTTGCCATGCCATTTATATGAAAACCAAAGGGCCATTTTAATCAAACTTGCCACCAATTCGTAGAGTGGTGACCATACTAACTAACTGCAAAAAAAAATCCAAAAAAAAAACAATAAAAAACATATAAAACAGCAAGGCAAAAGTGCATTTTCATGAAATTTCGCCAACATCTCAATTTCAGAAATCTTGAGAAATTTCAGAAATCTTAACAGAGGAAATTCCAATTCTCCAAATGACACAAAATTTGGCACACACCAACCTTGAACCAAAACAAGAACAGGCAACAAAAAAAAAACAACAACAACAACAACAACAACAACAACAACATAAAATTTGACCCCGAAACCCTAATTTCAGTTTTGGACTCGTTACCCAGGGCCTGAAAATGGGGGTCCCCATTAACCATTTGTGTGAGAGAGTGTTTGAAGAAGGAAAGGCCGGAATCCGATAAAGTGAGAGAGGAGGTCTATGAAAGGTGAGGGAGGAGACTCAAAGAAGCTGCGGGTGGAGGTTCACAGACGTTGAGGGAGAAGGTCCGAAGATGACAAAGAAGGAGATGCACACACAACAAAGGAGGCCGTAAGATGCCGAGGGAAACAGGTTCAGGTATGGCAAGCGGAGCTCAGAGATTCGTGTGAGTTGAGGAAGGGAAGGCTAGGTGTTCAGAAAAGGCTACGACATCTGAGGGAGGAAAGAGATTTAGAGAACGCACTGGGAGAGGCTTGGAGAAGACCAGAGGAGGTGAAATAAGAGGGGGGGGGACACGGTTCCTAGACCATGGAAGGGGTTCAGGGAAGAACAGGGAAGCAGCTCACAGAAGGGGAGAGATGAGGTTTGAAAATGGTGAGGGAGTGGGGATGGTGTGGTAGCATTTCTCAGGTCATGGCTTTCCCTGCAGTGCATAATGAACATCTTGTCGTGGCGTGCCCACACGAAACCGGGACAACAGGAATGTCAATCAACATCACGTCATGGCTTGCCCTGCAGTGCACAATCCAAGCCATTCACGACAAAGGGACTACTGGAAAACCTAATGCGTGGACAGCTGCTAAAGCTCTCCCCTAAAATCCACAACCAAACAGAGGTGGAGGAGGGAATACACTCCGCGCAGAACAGGCTGTCAGGGCATATAACTCCATGGTTAGGTCGGGCAAATCTGTAGGTGAGGTCTATGCAAGACGGCATGCACTGAAATGCGGTAAAAGTGAGGTGCATCAGCACAAAGAAATGAAAACACAACACCACCTACCCTTTCATCTCGGCTTTGTGAACGCATCTGGGAATACTCTTGAGCAATCAACTCTGAAGCCTGTAGCAACACAAGCACCAAAAACGAAAACGAGAGATAACAAAGAATTGTGTAGGAAGTTACATGCATCTGCGAATATTCTTGAGCAATCAAGTCCGAAGCCTGGAGCAACACCACCACTAATAAAAGAAAACGAGAAATAACAAAGAATTGTCCAATAGTACCAATTTTAACGGATGTCTCGAAGGACATCCATTAAAATTGGAACTATTGGCCCCTGCGCCCCCCCACCAAAAAAAGGGAAAAAAAAAAAGTCCAATAGTCTCAAGTCTGGAAGGGCTTAGGTCTCTCCACTGTTCAACTAACAGTGTAGACCATCCAGGTAGGTGGTAAAATTAGGTAAATACCGGAATTCCGGTTGGGTCCAAAAGTGGGTCAATTTTTTATTTTATTTTTTTGAAAACATGGTTGGACTGCGCTCACCGAGATCTCCCCGAATCCGCAAAGAAAACTTTGAACAGAGAAGTTTCGTTTGGGGGGTGGGGGGGGTGGGGGGGGGGGGCATTTCAGGGGTTGAGGGTCGGGCGTTGGGGGGTTTATGGTGAGGGTGTTAGTGGTGGAGTTTCAGCACAGGCTTCAGCAGACATTGACAACAACGTACCTGGCTTTCTGCAAACGCTGACGTGGGGATGATAGTGGCAGGGTAGGGACGGTACTTCCCACCCAAAAACTTTGAAAAGGGGGGTACGGGTTGTAGTGTTAGGGGGTGCTTCGTCCAAGTTGCCCTCGATACTGGTAGGGTGATGGTCCTGAGTGCTGGTCACACTGGGGTGTTAGTGGCAGGGTAGGGACGGTGCTTCCCACCCAAAAACTTTGAAAAGAAGGGTGGGGGTTATAGTGTTAGGGGGTGCTTGTCACTGCTGTCTGGTGACTGCCCTCCATACTGGTAGGGCGATGGTCCTGACACTGAGGTAGGATAGTAGGGATAGGGGGTGCGCTGGGAGCATTAACGTGGGGAAGGGTAGGGACTGTCTCTTATACACATCTAGATGTGTATAAGAGACAGGCCAGCAAACACTGTGGGTCTAGTCCTTGGCCTCAACAACACCATGGGCTAAAAAAAAAAAAAAAGATGCGCTACAGCCAACCGGGGGGGAACCGGCCCGGTCGACCGGCCGGTAGGACCGGTCCGGTTCCGGTTGGGGGAGGACCCCCCGGTCCTACCGGGTTTTTAGCACTGGTAAATACTAAATACTCCTTAATTTTGCGGACAGGTGTGGGGATTCTCCGAATGGCAATAAGGATAACATGAGCTCGTCAACTGCAGGTACTACTAGGATCAGGCACAGCTGCTATAATGTGGAATACCAAGCCTAGACGGGAATGACCTTGTGTACGTGGAGTGTAGCAGTTGACGATGAACTCAAGGTGTCACAACGAAAACCATGTTGTGGTGGATCTGAGAGTCGGCATAGCAGATAGACATAACTGAACCACAAGTACCCGGCCCCAGCCTTGCAGTCCGAAACTTGACGCCGAAATGTCAAACGCTGGGCCCGCCGTTCATAAATTCGATCGGCGGCCTCGTTTTCGTTTCGCACCTCCAGAATTTGAGGTGTCAGACCCGCGGCCCAGGTGCCCATGTACTGGTGCTTTAAGCAACCCATTCACCAGACCTATTCAGGGTTTTTTTGGTATAATGACGGTACAACCTCATATCCACAGCTTCCAACATCCGTGGAGAGGATCATACATATAATCAGGATTACCAAGGTCATGTAAGGGCTGGAACCCCTTGGGGAGGCCTTTTTTGTGTCCAGGAATACGCCCTTTTAGTTTTGAAAACAAACGGTTCCCACCCGGTGTTCTTCCTGGCTTTTCGAGCCGGAGATCTGACAATCGGGGCCAGGGAAGGAGACACAGGTCACGAAAATTCACTCAAGAACAACTGACAAATACATATAGAGGTGAGCATCCCTGATGCACGGTCTGCTGAGCCGGCAAGCTAGTCAACTGGTAGTAGGAGGGGTGGATGTGAGGGAGAAGTGCCCACAAACTCACGCGATGCGGCTTGATATGAGTGCCCAGCCTCAGTCGCGAAACAAGTAAGCCAAGCGCAAAGTCTCTGCTGCCCGCTTGCATGCTGATGGTATATACTGACAGTAGTTCCACGAGAGGATGCACGGCCGGTTTCTTTCGTCTTAGAGTAAAGAGCTAAGTGGAGCAAGGACACTCAATGGGAGGTGAAAAACAGACTCGAACCAGTCCATACGCCAGTACAACGGTCAGTAGACTCGGTACTCTTAGCAGACGGAGGGTAGGATTTCCTACCTGTGTTTTATTTCGTGGCATCAGACATCGCAATTAGGAGGTTGTGGGTTCGATTCTGGTTGGTCCTAGCCTCCTGTCTGTGCACCTGTTGGTGTTACAGCACAACACCCCACACACTTACCCTGTCCCAACGTCCAGTCTGCAAACCTGTTGATGTTACAGCATGACACCCCGCACTGCTGAAGGGGTGGGAGTGCGCTGCGGGAGTTGTTGAGGTAGGTGGTGGTGGGATAAGGGGAGTCATGTGGGGCCCAAAGAAAAACAAAAAAAAAGCAGGACGGGGTTCAAGCAGTTCTGACTAAGTGAACAACAACTGGTCTACGTGCTTTGCGCTTCCCTCTGTCAAGCTCTCGACAAGATACTTCTAAGGACCTCTGCTCGTCCAGTTCTATGATGCATGGCTGGTGGGAATGGACGCTTCAAGATGTACAGGGATTTGAAAAAATTGGACTCAGTAACGTTGTAATTATTGATACTTGACAGGAGTGAACTGGTCTAGTTTTTTTTTGTTTTTTTTTTTTTCGCTCTCTTCAAAGAAAGGGTGAAGGTCTGGAGATAGTCATTCGACTCACCTGCCGCTTGTTGTTCAGAACTACTTTCTTCTGATCATCTGATTGCGTCTGGATTCGAACGTGGGTCTCGATTTCAACAGTTTATGGGGGCGTACCAACCAAGCTAGGCTCTGTCTTGTTTGACTTCTCGCTCATCAGCTGTCTTACATCTGGCTATCATCATTTCGCTGGGACTGACTCTGCTCCTCCAAGACTCTGCATCCGTCCGAACCACACACCTCGTACACCCTTTAATATTTTCTTGGAAACACGCACTTATGACCCAGGCTCCATTGCATTAAGGGAACTTGAGTCCAGTTGCTTTTCCACCAGCAAGTCAGAATATTTCGTAGACAGTCAGTTTATTTAGACCTCCCCTCATTCCAACCGCAGTGATTGCTCCTGAAGCAAGGGGAGGATTGAACACCGCTCTTACACCCTAATCCGGGCTAGGTTCACATTGCGGATGCAATTGCTCTTCAATTGCATGGATCCCTGGGTTACATCACACCAGATGAGAGAAAATATCATACTACGAAGAAGACGTCATGAGCATTACTGTCATGGCGTTATCAGCCTCTCCATCACCTTACCTCAACGAAACACTGTTGAGGACCCAGCCCTTCCACCCAGTCGCCACTCAGATGTTTAGTGGATTTCAAGCTTTGGTTCATTGTGAAACTGCCTCTCATCACTACAACCATTTTGCAGGAAAGCTTTCAAAGCCACTGTCTTTCTTTTTTTATATATTAAAAAAAAAAAACACCAGCCCCTTCTATTCTGGGGGGCATCAGTCCGGTTGCTGATCACCGGCCAGCTCCTGTTTTTTTTTTTCTTTTTCTTTTTTTTTTTCAACCAAGCTATATTCTTCACTCATATACCTCATACTACCTAACCTCTTATCTCAGTCCATCGTTGGTGCTGATCGTTGCACTTATGGGTTAACACCGACCTCCTCCCATGTCTAAGCACCGCACGTTTCTTCCTAACCCCAGGTAATGGCTGACCAATCCTACCTAGGGGGGCAAGCCGACCATCTCAGCTGGTGAACTTATAGTGAGCTGCAGGAGGCTGTGGGGAGTCGAAATGGAGACGTGGGGAATCGAACCCGCAACCTCCTGAATGCCAAATTCGTGCTCTACCAATGAGCTAGGCCGCCCGTCCTTGTTGTCCTTCATCTTCATTCTGCCTTGCAGGAAGAAGTTTCGACAAAATGCTTGAGCAGTGCAGGCTTGGGGGAATAAGCTTGAATTTTGCCAAAAAAATGCCCTTCAACGGAATCCACCTGCATCGCGTAGATGGCCAGGTGCCGTATCTGCAATGCAACAATGGTGCAGACTGCTAGGCACATTTTGATGCAGTGACATTTTGAGAGCCGCCTTGCCGACTATGGTGCTTCAAAAGTCGTACAAGACATTTTGAAACCTTCCTCTTACCGCTATGTCACCGTCTGACGCAGTGGTGCTTCAAAGGCCCACTTACGGGAATACTATTAACCACCTCCAGAGCATCTGGAATGACGCTTCTACACAGCACCACATCATTGCTGTATAGAGGCGCAATAGTCTTCCCCTGAGCAGAACCCACGGTAATCCTTCTGACTTCATTCAATAAAGCAACTTCTCAGGCATGAACAACTGTAATACCCATGCAATGTATTCATCGAAAGACAGGAGGCAGCTCAAAGGTCAAAGATGTGAAAAAGGAGAAAATGAAGAGGAGGATGGTAATGATATCTCACCACCACCACAAGCACACAATGCTTTCTTTGCGGACAGACAAAGCAGAGGGAGGGCAGAGGGAGGGCAGAGGTAGGGATATCTGACATGCACAGTAAGCAAGAGATTCCAGCGGCAGCTGAAAACGCCAATGGGGCCAGCACGGTCGGTACACCCATGAACTGGTGAAATACAGACCTGGGTTCGAATCCAACTCAGATCGAAATGAATGAAATTGAAGAAATTCTGAATTACCTAGGGCCGGTCAGTTCAGCAATGATATCTCAAGACCATTGCCCTTTTCCGAAAAAAAAAAAAAAAAAAAAAAAAAAAAACAACAACAACAACAAGAAGAAGAAGAAGAAAAGGAAAGGAAAGAAGGAAAGGGGCTGAAAAAGTAAAAGATAAGATGCAGGAGAAAATGAAGCAGCAGCCTGCCAGCAGGTAATTATTACTTACACCTCCATCATCAGTACAAACTTGATTCTCAGTCTGAGGGAGCCTGTGGTTGAGCAAGCATGACTCAGCCTTTCTTCGGTGCTGCTTTCTATTTTAGGGGGCTCCGTAGGTCATATATTGTGGAGAGCAGCATCCTGATTCAATCTTCATCAGCAGGCAACGAGAACACGATACTCGTGTTTTCTCCGTCTTATTCATCCTAAGCTTAAAGAGAAATATGTATATCCTTACCCAGCCCATGTGGCTGAGCTGTAGACAGATGCAACTGTAATAAACAGACCACGAGTTCATTGATGTAAACAGACCAAAAGCTCAAATCCTTATGGAATAAGATGAACACAGGGGATATCCCCCTTCTGAAGAGAACAAAAAAAGGGATACGTACTATGTACATTGTACATCCTTCACTCTGGTTTCATGGATTCCTCCTATCCACAACTAGAAGATAACAGCTGGCATCTGTTCCCAAGAAAAGCAAACATGAGAGCAAACACTGATTATGTGAAGTTTGTGAACAGTGTGATTTCATCAGATTAGACATCAGAAGCTCTGTGCTCCTCAGGTTCAGGGAGCACTGACAGGTTGGAAGTGAGCAGCCATCGAAATGGCAGATATAGAGGTGCAAAAGGTTACCTCGTCTGTTAGTCGCGGCTGATACCGATCTTTGGCGTAATGAATGTACTTTTTCAAGAATTTGATGGTGAGTGGATCCCTCTTGCCAAAACGTGTGCGTTTCTCCCCGTGGAGCAACCGATTGTACTTCACAAACACCAACGTATGAGATTCATCCTCTTCCTCATCCGCTTCGCGGGTCGTCCCAGCTGCTGGCGGAAGACCTGTTTATCACTTGCAGCAACGTATATAGTTGAGCATATTAGGATCTCATCTGATCACATAACCAACCCCATCAATTCGGAACTTTCACCTGTTGTCCCAGCTGCTGATGGAAGGAAGGACTGCTGGTCACACTCACTCACACCATACCAGACGTGCACCATATATTGTACAAAACCACCACACTAGTTCGGAGCACATGGTGCACACACGACGTCACACGTGCAGCACCAAGTGATGCGTACACATGAAGAACCAAGTGATGCATGCACATGCAGAACAATGATGTGTATACATGCAGCACAGCACACTAATACACAGGGGACATGATGCACACACAGGTAATTGAAAAAAGAAACAACAAGGAAATAAGTGACGCCCAAACCACCAAGCAGCCTAGCTCAGTGGGTACACCCATGAACTGCTGAAATTTAGACCTGAGTTCGAATCCCAATGGAATTGCTGTCAACTCGGTTCCTGGAGGCCTTTGAGGAAGTCCGCTCAGCAGTCCTTTTATCTTTTCAATGCTGTGTTTTACGTGCACTGAGCGTTTCTACGTACCTGCATGCAGCTTTCTAAGTACCTGCATGTGTACATCCTGAATCTCAATGCTCCTAAAACACAGCAGGTACACTCAACGCTCATTAAGAAAACAGCAGGTACTTTGAGATTCTGAATCTCAATGCTCGTAAAACACAGCACTTAATTCGCGGAATTTGCCGGCGTGTATACATTCTGAATCTGATGTGCTTCCACTGAATCCTTTCAGTTTTCTGGGACCCGGGTGAACAGAGTTTTTTTTTTTTTTTTTTTTCTGTTCTGGAATAGCATGTTGAGAATTTGAAGCATGGGACACTGGACCCGTTTCCCAGTGCGAGCCCAAGCGGGGAATCGGCCCCAGCATTCCGGGTTGAGATGTGGAGGGATTCCCGGCCTCCTTTTGCTCATATAACCCATGCCATTTCTTTATTATAAAAAAAAAAAAAAAAAAAAAAAAAAAAAACGTCAGGTTCATTGAACTGTTAGGTGTACTAAATCCGTCTTCACTATGGCTCCTGATTGATCCCTGAGGAAAGTTACAGCATGCCTGTCACGAAAAATGATATCGCTTTTTCTCAGGCTGCCTATAGGAAAACAAATACTACAGTTTATAAGGCCAATCATCGGCTACATCCAGAAGTTCCTTAGCATTCCATCTCTATATGGATGATGATATACGCTCCCGATCTTTCTGTGCCTGTAGATCTGCAATTGTTAACCAC